AGCTGGTCTAAGAAGCAGAGCGGAGGACTGAACCTGGGTTCAGTCTGGCTCAGGACAGCGCTGGATGGGCCCTGGCATCCTGGGGCAGCTGACGAGGCCATTCTTAACCTTTGGGTCCTGGGCACTCTGCCTATGAACCATCCCTCTGGCCCGACATTGTGAACAAGTCGTGTCATTCTGGAACATCGAGTGCTCTGCGCCTCTGGGTCTCTCACTTTGTCCTCATTCCCAGCCTGATCAACCTCCACCTTGCTGGCAGGTCATGTTGATCCACTGCATGGGTATCACGATGGTGCCAGCTGCTCCCTGGGGTCCATATCAGTGTATCCTGATTGCCATACTTAGTGCCGGGAAAGCTGGAACATAGAGACAATTCTGTGATGCCCAGACCCAGGTCCACCTTGTTCCTGGTCTACAGCTTAAAGAGAATCACAGGCTGGTGGCAAAGCTGGTACACAGAACCCTAGTTCCTCTCCAGGACCGAAAATGCCTCTTATGGGGCTGGAGCAACAGTACAGCGGGCAGGGTGTTTGCCTTGCAAGTGGCTGACCTGGGTTCGATCCTCAGCATCCCATATGGTCCCCCAAGCACTGCCGGGTGTAAATCCTGAATACAGAGCCAGGAGTAACCCCTAAACATCACTGGATGTGACCCAGAAAACCTTTTAAAAAATTGCCCTTTGTGGGGGCTGGAGCGATAGCACAGTGGGTACGACGTTTTCCTTGCACGCGACCAACCCGGGTTCTATCCCCAGCATCCCATATGGTCACCCGAGCACCGCCAGGTGTAATTCCTGAGTGCAGAGCCAGGAATATCCCCTGTGCATTGCTGGGTGTGACCCAAAAAGCAAAAAAAAAAAATTACCCTTTGTGATATGGAGCAAATAAGAACACTGGTATAAAAAGATAAACATACTTAGGTTAAAAACATATAGAAAGGGGCTGGAGAGATAATAGAGTAGGTAGGGCACTTGCTTTGCATGTGGCCAAACCAAGCTCACTCCTTGACACCCCATATGATCCCCTGAGCCCTACCAGGAGTGATCCCTGAGCACAGAGCCAGGAGTAAATCCTGAGCACCGCTGAGTCTGTCCCCCACACTAACAAAATAAAACAAAACAAGGGGGCAGGTGCGGTCCCTTCACCACCTCAACGGAGTTCCAGCAGCCGAAAACCTCCAGAACTCAATCACTGCCATGTTCACGGCCGCTCTCCACACCCATGAGTGATTCTATTCCTGGACCACATGGCCACATTTGTGGCCACACAACATCTCATATTTTACACCACTGATATAAACACACCAGGCAAAACCTTTAATTTTTTTTTTTTTGCTTTTTGGGTCACACCCGGTGATTCACAGGGGTTACTCCTGGCTCCACACTCAGGAATTACCCCTGGCAGTGCTCAGGGAACCATATGGGATGCTGGGAATCGAACCTGGGTCGGTCGTGTGCAAGGCAAACACCCTACTCGCTGTGCTATTGCTCCAGTCCCAATGCACAACCTTTAACATTCTCTTATAGAAGGACTTAATGGCTCCTGGGTGAAATTCAACAATCTTCACACACTTTACTCTAAGGAAAGTTTTTGGGATCATTTTTAGTGGATTGTTCATAATAAGCAATCACGACCATGATCACAACCACCCTGTTGTTCGTCGATTGCCTCGAGCAGGTGCCAGTAATGTCTCCTTCGTCCTAGCCCTGAGATTTTTTTTTAAAGTGCCATATTCAAGGCTCTTTCAGGGTTAGGAGAATGAGACCCATCATTGTTACTGGTATTTGGCATATTGGGTATACCACGGGGAGTTTGCCAGACTCTGCTGTGTGGGCAGGTTACATTCGGTAGCCTGCCAGTTTGTCCAAAGTAGGAATGAGATGATAAGATGATAAGCTTCCAGGAGCTGAGTGTGATAATCTCTGGATCCTGGCCGTTGTTGGGGTTGCACGGCAGTTGGTGGGTGTAACTGTCTAGCTACTGGCAGGTTCAGTCCCAAACCGTGCAGGCTTGGAGATCTCAGCCCTGGGTCCCACACACCTGGGTTCCTCTGCCAGTTCTTTTATGCGTGAGGCTCATCCAAGTGTGTGGAGAGTGGTCCCAGCATAGCCTTGGCTGGGGCCCGGAGGTCTTCAGCTGTTGGACCCTGGTGGAGACAGTCAGGCACAGGGTAGAAGACTCTGCCTTGTTCTCTCCCGGGAGCTGAGTGTGATAATCTCTGGATCCTGGCCGTTGTTGGGGTTACATGGCAGTTGGTGGGTGTAACTGTCTAGCTACTGGCAGGTCCAGTCCCAAACCGTGCAGGCTTGGAGATCTCAGCCCTGGGTCCCACACACCTGGGTTCCTCTGCCAGTTCTTTTATGCGTGAGGCTCATCCAAGTGTGTGGAGAGTGGTCCCAGCATAGCCTTGGCTGGGGCCCGGAGGTCTTCAGCTGTTGGGCCTTGGTGGAGACAGTCAGGAACAGGGTAGGAATACAAAATAAATTACTTCGGTTCTGCTTTGGTGGCAGGGTTGGGGGTTTGGGATGGAAATATTCAAAATACGGTGATCACTTATCACTTATCACTTAACTTCCCGTTAGTTGTCGATTTGCTCGAGCGGGCGCCAGTAACGTCTCCATTTGTCCCTGTCGCGTGCCAGTGTAGCCCAATGGCATCTGTTCGCTCCGGGAACATGAAGGGCCTCAAACCGATCGTTCATGATCTTGACGAAGAAGTTAAGATCATGATGGTGGGGTTGGTGTTCGAATAGTAAGTGTAATCAATTACTGTGAACAACTTTATAAAAATAAAATTAAATTAAAAATGGAACAAAAAGAAACCTAAGGCTGTAAGGATGTACAGTGGGAAGTCGCTTCCCTTGCGTGCAGCTGACCTGGGTTCGATCTCCGGCCCCACATCTAGTCCCTTGAGCACCATCAGGAGTGGTTGCTGAACAGAGCCAGGGAGGAAGCCAGGAGTTATTAGCCCTGAGCACTGCTGGATGTGGTTCCAAAACACAACAAACAAAATACCTAGGGCTGAGCCAGAGCGATAGTCCAGCGGGGGAGGTGCTCGCCTTGCCATGGCTTGTCAAGCACTGCCAGGAATAATTCCTGAGTACTGAGCCAGGAGTACCCCTGCGCCTCATCAGGAGTGGCCCCCAGGAAAACTATACTTAGGGCCGGGGAGACGAAAGCCTAGAATGCAGGTTTTGCATGCAGGAACCCGAGGTTTGATCTCTAGTACCACAAGGCCCCCTGTCTGGTAGGGCTTTCTGAGCACTGAGCTGGGAGTAACTCCAGAGCACTGCAGGGTGTGGCCCCAAAATGAGAAGTCCAAGGTAATAAGAAGACAAGCTTGAGGGCTGGGACTGAGATGGTGGAGCAGATGCTTCACTTGTGCCAGGTTCCTGGGCTCGCATGTCAGCGTGATGCGACCCTGCAACATCTCAGAACTGTGTGGCCCCCTCCCAGAGCCATCACCTCGGACAACAGCAAACCAAAACAAAGCTGTATCCTTTGTTTTTCTGGAAAAAAAAATAAAAAAAGATTAAAACATAGGGGCCAGGGGCCAGAGCAATAGTATAGTGGGTAGAGTTTACTTTGCATGTGACTGACTCAGATTCGATCCCGGCATCCCATAGGGTCTCCCGAGCACCGCCAGGAGTAATTCCTGAGTGAAGAGCCAGGAGGAACCCCTGAGCATTGCCAGGTGAGACCCAAAACAAAACAACAAAAAAATAGGGACCATAGTGATAGCACAGTAAGGCACTTGCCTTGCACATGGTCAATTCAGGTTCCATCCCTGGCACCCGAAATGGTCCCCTGAACCTGCCAGGAGTGATTCCTGAGTGCCCAGCCAGGACTAAGCCCTGAGCACCACCTGGTATGGCCCAAAACCCACTTTTTTTTTTTTTTTAAAGAGGATGGAGATGGGGCTTGCCTTTGATGTGTGAAGCCCTGGTTCAGGTCCAGTGCTGCAAAAGCAGACTCTGGTCTAACGCTGGCTAGGCAGTTCATATGGTACCAGCATGGCCAGGAGTGACCCCTGAACACAGAGCTCAAGTGTAAGCCCTGGGAACAGCCGGGTGTGGCCCCAAAACCAGCAGAAGGAAACAAGAAACAAAAAACAAACACAAAAATAAAAAACGCAGGACCCAAAAGAAGAGAGAGAGAGAACAAGGGGGGATGCCGTGCCACTGAGGCAGGGTGGGATGGGGCGTGGGTGGGAGGGATGCTGGGATCCGTGGCGGTGGAGGATGGGCACTGGTGGAGGGATGGGTACTTGATCATTGTATAACTGAAACCCAAGCACAAAAATTTGTAAGTCTATAACTGTACCTCATGGTGTTTCACTCATAAAAAAATAAATTAAATAAATAAATAAATAACGTGGGGCGGAAAGGAGAGAGTATGGGGGGTAGGGTGCTGACCTAGGACTGACCCAGGGTCCCTCTCCGCCACCCCAAGCGGTCCCCGGAGCACCGTCAGGAGTCACTCCTGAGCCTGGAGCCGGGAGTCAGGCCGGAACCTCGCCGGGTGTGGCCCCAAAAGAAAAACAAAGCGAAAGAAAGCAAAACTTCGCCCCAATGCTGCCGCCGAGAGAGAACGGCCCCTGGGAATTCAAGTTTTCTGCCTCCCGACGCCCCAATGCCTCCCGGTGGCAGCCGCGCCCCGCCGCTCCGCTCGGGCCCGGGCTCAGTGAACTGGGGGTGGGGGTGGGCGTCCCGGCTGGCGCCACCGTGGTCCCTAAGGACGGCCGGATTCGCGGGGCCCGGGGACAGGGCCGGGGGGCGGGGGGTGACCGCGAGGGAGGCGGCGGGGCCCGGCAGCGCGGGGCTGAGTCCGGCTCCGGCCCCTGCCTGGGCACCCGCCCGGGCTCCGCTGGAAGCCGCCGCCGGCGGCCGAGGCGTCCCGAGGAGGGGCCGGGGGAGCCCGGGCCGGGCCCTGGCCCGCGCGGGGCCGCGCACGTGCGTGGACGAGTGCGGGGCCCCGGCCTGGGTCCGGACTACAAGTTCCAGGGTGCCCAGCGGCGCGTCGGGGTGTCGGGCCGCGCGGCCCGCGGGCTCCTAGCAGGTCGCCGGGAACGGGCACGACGACACCACCTGGTGCCGGAGCCGGGAAGGCGCGAGTGTCCCGGGCCGCACTCCGAGTCCAAGTGGGCGGGGAGCCGCCCCGGGCCGCCGCTCATGTCCCTGCAGAGCCGCGTGTCCCGCCGCCTGGCACAGCTGCGCGCCGCGGGGCAGCTGCTCGGCACCCCGCGCCCCCGGGCCGGCCCCTCGCCGGGCGCCCCGCTCCCCCGCGCGCGCCCCCCGGCGGGACCCGGGGCTCGGGGGGTGGCGGCCGTGGGACAGCGAGCCGGGCTGCGCACCTGGGGTCCCCTGGCCATGGCGGCGAAGGTGGACCTGACCACCTCCACCGACTGGAAGGAGGCGAAATGTAAGTGGAGAGACGCGGGGCGGGGGGCGCGAGCGGCGAGGGCGACCCCCTCCCCCCTCCGCGGGCCCGCCCTCCCCGGCGGGACAGCACCCCCGCCCCCACCGGCCAGCCGACTTCCACCCCGGAAAGCCTGGGGAAGTTAGGACCCCCCACAGCCACGCCCCCTCCTCGCGCCCCCGGCCCCACCCCCAGGTCCCCCCTCCCCGAGTTCCGGCTCCCCGCGGGGCGCAGAGTGCCGAGGGGGGCCCTGCCCCCCTGAAAGGGGGCCCCGCAGGACACCCCGCCCAGCGGTCATCCAGGACCTCCCGCGTTGCTGTGCGGAAGGGAAACTGAGGCCGGGGCCCAGTGGCCCAAGGTCACTCAGTCCGTACTAAGCTGACCTTTAGCCTCCACCCTCCTTCCTCCTCCTTCCGTGCTCCACTCCGCGTGCAGTTTCGCGAGTGTTTTAGCGTGGCAGGGGACTGGCCCGGGGGACAGCTCTGGGCTGGCCACCCACCCCGGGGGGATGGGTGGGCGCCACTCGGCCCGCCGCCGCCGTCCCGCCCTGACCACTTGTGAGCTCGTGGGTCACTTTCTGCCCCGCTAGTTCTCCGCGGCGCAGCACGGGAGAGGGGGGTCGTGGTGTCCGTGGGCCAGGGGCAGCCCCCACCCCCCACCCCTGCCAGGAACTAGGCCTCTTCCTCGCAGCCGGGCTGGACTCGACACCCCGTGGGGCGCGGGGCGGGAGGGGAGCCCGAATGCCGAGCGGGCGGCGGCCGGGCTGCCCTCCAGCCCCGCTGCCCTTCAAGGCCGGCTCCCCTTTCAAACGCGCGGGCCGGGCGCCCCATTGGCCGGCGCGGGGAGGTGGGGTGGGCGCGGCCAATGGGGAGGCGGCCCGGGCGGGCGCGGGGACCGGCGGGCTCCGGCCCGGCCCCACGCGGCCCCGCATTGTGCAGCTCCGGAGCTCGGAGCTCCGCGGGGGGCGGAAAGCGCTTGGCCCGAGCACGCGGCCCGGAGCCAGGAGTAACCCCTGAGCTCGCCGGCTGGGACCCAGAAACCGAAAGCAAAGACCCCCCACAACCTCTTGGCCCTGCCCCGTGAGCACGTGGCGTCGGATCCTCCCGCAGCCTGGCCCGGGAGCACCCTCCTGCGGGGAAGGGACACAGCCAGACCCTTGGGGGTGGGGGTGGGGCTGCTTCTGTGCCAGGACAGTAACCCCGAGGGAACCCCCCCCCCACTCCCTATCCCCACCTCTGATCCAGCTGCCCCATCTTTGGTCCCTGAAAAAATGGCCAGGGCTGCCCAGGAGACTGGATCATCATTCAGTGCCAGTGTGACCCTAAGGAGGAGGGACGGATGAGGACAGGGGGAGGGGATGGGGATGGGTGGATGAATGAGGACCCTCTTGCAGGGGTGGGGTGTGGGTGGTTGGCAGGAGTGGAGAGTGATGGTGTGTGTGTGTGTGTGTGTGTGTGTGTGTGTATTTGGGCACAGTAGGTTAGTGCTGGCGGGGGTCTCGGCTTGGGTGTCATCACAGAGTGGCAGCTGGCTTGTCCCCGGAGCACGTGACCCCTTACAGGGAGGGGAGAGAGGGCTGTAGATCCGAGAGCCACAGGGCCACGGTGGGACCCCGACTTCAGAGTTCCTCGTGGCTCACTCCAGGGCTCGGAATCAAAGTTCGAGTCCAACCTCTTTTCGTCCCATCTCAGGGCACAGCTCAGGGCTTACTTCTGGCGGTTCTGGGGGTGGAACCGGGGTCAGCGGCCTGCAGGGTGAGCCTCACCTCACCGGTGCTCTGGCACCTTCTGAAGGGAAGAGGATCAAAGGGTCCTGTGGCTGTTTTTCAAATGCCCCACTGGAGGGCAGGACGGGCACCGGCTTCGCTGGACTCTGCTTCTTGTCAGGTTTCAAGTACTGAGGCAGCACGGGGGAGTCCGGGCTTGCTCTGGTCAGTGCCTCTTGCTCCACTTATAGCTGGTGTAACCCCACACCTCACCGGGCTGCTTTAAGTCCCGCTCTTCCCCCGGTCTTTGCCTCTGACCCAATTTCATGTGGACATACCCACTGTTTAATCTTTTCGGAGGGAGCTGGTTTGGGCCAGCTGGTGTTGCTCAGGGTTGACTCCTGGCTCTGTGTTCAGGGATCACTCCTTTTTTTTTTTTTTTTGGCTTTTTGGGTCACACCTGGCAATGCATAGGGGTTATTCCGACCTTATCCAACTCTGACCTAATTCATCTCACAAGTGGATAGAGGCCAGCTTTTGATGTATTTCTTTTTTTTTTTTTTAACATCTTATTTATTTATTTATTTTGTGTTTTGAGTCACACCCGGAAATGTTCAGGGGTTGCTCCTGGCTCTGCACTGAGGAATTACCCCTGGCGGTGCTCAGGGGACCCTATGGGATGCTGGGAATAGAACCTGGGTCAGCCTCTCGCAAGGCAAATGCCCTACCTGCTGTGCTATAGCTCCAGCCCCTCAGGGATCACTCCTGGCAGTGCTTGGGGGCTCAGTGGGTGCCAAGGTCACCCTCCCCGCTGTGCTGTCTCTGGCGTTGCTCTGTGGAGTCCTGTGGGGGTCCTGCAGTCTGGTCCCCACTCTCTGGCCAGCTGACGGGCCTCTGGCTTCCCAGTTTGTAGCCACTGGCCCAAAGGTTGCTCTGTGTGAGTCCCCTGTGCCGTCAACGTATGCTTGTCTCTGGGTTTGCCTGACCTGGCCTGAGCCGACCTAATCCAACTCACAGGCGGAGAGAGGCCAGCTTTTGATGTATTTCTTTTCTTTTCTTTTTTTTAACATCTTATTTATTTATTTATTTTGCTTTTTGGGTCACACCCAGCAATGCTCAGGGGTTGCTCCTGGCTCTGCACTCAAGAATTACTCCTGGCAGTGCTTGGGGGACCATATAGGATACCAGGGATCGAACCCAGGTTGGCCACATGCAAGGCAAATGCCCTCCCCGCTGTACTATCACTTTTTATTTTTTTTGGCGTTTTGGGTCCCACCTGGCGATGCTCAGGGGTTACTCCTGGCTCTGCACTCAGGAATTATCCCTGGTGGTGCTCAGGGGACCATATGGGATGCTGGGAATCGAACCCGGGTCGGCTGCGTGCAAGGCAAATGCCCTACCCGCTGTGCTCCAGCCCCTGTACTATCACTTTGACCCCATTGATGTTTCTTTATTTCCTTTATTTTTTTTTCTGGGGCACATGCTCAGGGATCACTCCTGGCTCTGTGCTCAGGGAGCACTCCTGGAGGGGTTTAGGGGACTCTATGGGAATTATAACCTCTGCACCTCTTTGGAACCCCCACGTGGGGGTTCAGTTGATGGGGAGGAGCTGGGCCAGTGACAAGGCCTCCTGTGGAAAGGCCACTTTTTTTTTCTTTTTTTTGGTTTTTGGGTCACACCTGGCTCTGCACTCAGGAATTACTCCTGCCAGTGCTCAGGGGACCATATGGGATGCTGGGAATCAAACCCGGGTCGGCCACGTGCAAGGCAAACGCCCTACTCGCTGTGCTATCTCTCCAGCCCCTGGAAAGGCCACTTGGAAGTGGAACTGTGTCCTGGGGTGCTGCGTCCCCTGGGAGCGGTTGAGCAGCTTCAGTGAGCTCCCGGGGTGGTCTGGACACCCCTGACCATTGTCAGTGACTTAGGGGTGGCCACTGGCCCGTGAGCCCTCCAGACGGACAGGCAGATTCTGGATGCCCCCTGCCTCCACACGGCTCCCCACGTCTGTGGACCCACGCCCCTCTCCTTAAGTAGACTGGATCTTCCTCTCTTTTTGGGAGACCCCTGGGCTCTCTGCTTCCATTCACTCGGGGTTACGAAGCTTCCCTGTTCGGGGGGCACCTCGTGAAGCTTGGGTTTGCTCCCCAGCTCCGTGGGGTCCCCCAGCACTTGCTAGGCCAAGTAACCCCTGAGCACTGTTTAGAAGGGTCCAGACGTTGGTCTTGTCAGCTGCATGCACATTCAGGGTCCTGCTCTGTAAAGGGGGAGTTCCAAGTATGTTTGGTCCCCAGGAGACTTGCCTCCTTGCTCTGGCCTCATGGGGGTCAGGGGGTCAGAGGTCAGGCTCAGTAAACTGCTCCCCACCCCCTTTCACGCACAGTGGGTGACTTCAGGGGCCCCCCACACCCCAGGAAGGAGGCTGCGGCCTCAGAAGAGCAGGGAAGGGTGAGACGAGCTGAGTTTTTTTTTTTATTATTATTATTTTTTGGCTTTTTGGGTCACACCTGGTGATGCTCAGGGGTTACTCCTGGCTCTGCACTCAGGAATTACCCCTGGCGGTGCTCAGGGGACCATATGGGATGCTGGGAATCGAACCCGGGTTGACCCGGGTCGGCAGCGTGCAAGGCAAATGCCCTACCCACTGTGCTATCACTCCAGCCCCGAGACTAGCTGAGTTTAGGGACTGCTTCCGGCTGGGCTGGGGCCACGCCATCGGAACTGCCCACAGACAGTGCGGCTCACTCCCGGCTCTGTGCGCAGGGATCACTCCTGTCACTGTTCGGGGATTGAACCCGGGTTGGCGGTGCACAAAGCGAGTGTCCTGCAGCTGTATTTCCCCTCCTGCCCAGGACCTGCCTTGGGGATTGTGTCACACCTTGCCTGGGTAGAGGTTAGAGACCCCCAGCCTCCTCCCTGCCTCCTGTTCCCGCCTCAGTACTTGCTTTTTTTTTGGGGGGGGTCACACCCAGTGATGCACAGGCGTTACTTCTGGCTCTGCACTCAGGAATTACTCCTGGTGGTGCTCGGGGGACCATATGGGGTGCTGGGAATCGAATCCGGGTCGGCCGCGTACAAGGCAAACGTTCTAACTACTGTGGCTGGAGTGATAGCACAGCGGGTAGGGCATTCGCCTTACAAGCGGCCAACATGGCCGACCCGAGTTCGATTCCTCCGCCCCTCTCAGAGCCCGGCAAGCTACCGAGAGTATTCGATATGCCAGACACAGTAACAACAAAGTCTCCAATGGAGACGTTACTGGGCCCGCTCGAGCAAATCGACGATCAACGGGAGGGCCTTTTACTGTACCATCGCTCCAGCCCCCCACCTCAGGACTTGGGGTATCCACTGTCTCCTCCACTCCAGACGGTTCTCTCGGCAGCGCCGCCCTCAGCCTTCTCTGCTGGCCTGGGTGCTTGCGCCCCACGGATCTGCTGGGAAAAGGGGTTTTCTGGGTTAAAGAGCACCAGGAACAAAGGCAGGAAGTGAGGAGAGATGAGTGGTGGTCTTGAGCAGGCAGAGAAGTGGGCGGGCAGCACCCCAGCTCGTGCCCCCGTGCTCCAGAGCCTCAGACCCCGGGCTCCTGGGCACCTGACGGATGGCGGGGAGGCCTTCGGAGCCCCCTGGGTGGAGGGGTCGCTGTCACTGTCATTGTCCTCCCGTTGTTCGTCGATTTGCTCGAGTGGGCCCAGTAACGTCTCCATCGTGAGACTTGTTACTGTGTGAGACTTGTTACTATGTTTGGCATATCGAATACGGGGAGCTTGCCCGGCTTTGCCGTGTGGGCGAGATACTCTTGATAGCTTGCCGGGTGCTCCGAGAGAGGTGGAGGAATCGAACCCGGGTCAGCCCCGTCAGCCGCATGCAAGGGAAATGCCCTACCCGCTGTGCTATGGCTGGAGGGGTGGAGGAAGCAATAACTGGCTTGGCCCTGGCGGGGAGGGGGGCACCGTGGAGGTAAAGGTAACAGCGTGTGTGTGTATCCGTGGCGGCCCTGCCAGGGGTTGGTGGGGACATGCTGATGTTGACCTTGGTGGTCAAGTGGGGTGAGAAAGCCTGGGGTTACTGCAGAGAAAGGAGGGAGGGCGGCTGATCTGGCGCCCCTGCGGGGTCCTGGAAGGACCTTGATGGTCTGTGGGCTGAGGGGTGTGGGGTGGGTGGCGTGGTGGGCAGTCTCCCAGTGAACTGGTACACCGCGGCGGTCAGGCGCCCCTTTCTGGCAGGCCTGGAGTGACCACTGACCGCCAGGGGGCGCTGCAGGTCTGGCGGGAGCGTTCTGGGCGGGAGATTTCCTTCAGCGTCCAAACCAGAGGGTTTGGGGGCACCTCCTCTAGGACGCCGCCCCCCAAGCCGCTCTGCTCCTCAGACCCAGGATCTACCCTGCCTGCACCCCCAGGCTTGGTGCAGGGGTCCAGGTATTCAGGAGCTATACAAATCCGCATTTCCAGCACCTGTCCGGTCATCCGAGGGGTGGGGTGGGGCTTTGGTCTTTCCTGGGAAGTCTGCACCCCAAACCCTGCTCAGTAATGAGGGCGGGAAATTTCTGAACTCCCTTTTTACAGTCAAGGAGGACTGAGGCTTCGAGAAGCACCTTTTCCCCAGGAGCTGCCAGGAGGCAGCGCTGGGACTGTGGTCAGCTCTGTGAGGGGCTCAGGTGCCCAGCGTGGCTCTGGATGGTGAGCCTGGAGGTGACCCTGGGCCAGGATGGCCTTGGTCCCTGAGCATGGAGGTGCCTTGGCTGGGGCGCCGGTCTCTGTGTCTCTGGAAGGAACTTCCTCCGGATGAGGTGGCCCTGAGGTAGTCAGGCCCCAGCAGGCCTTGGTGACCCCTGTTTTTTTTTTTTTCTTTTTGGGTCACACCTGGCGATACACAGGGGTTACTCCTGGCTCTACACTGAGGAGTTACTCCTGGTGGTGCTCAGGGGACCATATGGGATGCTGGGAATCGAACCCGGGTCGGCCGTGTGCAAGGCAAATGCCCTACCCGCTATGCTATCACTCCAGCCCCACTCACACACTCTTAAACACACTCACAGATGCCAAACATTCACACTCACATATCCACTCTTATTCACACACAGAAACACACATACACTCACTCACACACATACACATTCACACTCACATATAACGCACACAGAAACACACACATACACTCACACACAAACACATTCACGCTCACATTCACTCCTGTGTACACACAGAAACACACACTCACACTCACATATAACTTACATTCACACACATATATTCACACAAACACATACACTCACACACAAACACATCCACAGTCACATATATACTCCTATATACGCACAGAGACACACATATACTCACACACATTCACACTCACATTTACACTTTTACGCATATACACACTCACACATACACAAATACTACACATATATACTCACATACACAAACATATTCACTCACACTTACATATAGACGCTCACACATACATACGTAAATCTTACACACAGTGCTCATACATACTCTTGCACATACATACACTCACAGAGCACTTCTCCAATCCTCATGGCTTCCCACTCCTCGGTCGAGACTCCCAGGCCTGTGCCAGGGCTGGGGTTCTGGGGTGCTACGGTTCCAGTCCCTTGAGCACCCACTGCTCGGTGTTTGGGCCACACCCAGCAGTGCTCAGGGCTTACTCCTGGCTCCGTACTCAGAAATCACTCCTGGAGGTGCTCGGGGAGCCCTATGAGAACCTGGGTTGGTGCGTGCAATGGGGACTGACCACTCTGGTCCTGCTAGCCTCGAAGCTGCCTGTCCCCCCACAACACATTACCTGCTATACTAACTCTCAGGCCCCCAGAACCTGCGTTTCCGATCTGACTCGGGATCCTTGTAGGGCGGGGACCACAGCTGCCTCAGTGGATGTGTGGTTGGGGTTTCCAGAAAGAGGGGAGCAGGCCCAGGGGCGCCTCCTGTTAGTACTGGGCCACCAGTACAGGGGCAAGCCTTTTGCTGGTTCTCTCCATGTGCTGAGCACCCTCGGGGAGCAGAGGCTTGGAAGGATTCAGTGATGGGGTGCTCATGTGGGGTGGAGGGACCTGTCTGTCTGAGCCTGCCCCTCCCACCTCTCCCCACTGCCTGTGGAGTTTGGGTTCCTTTATGAGGGGTAAGCCATACCTAGCGGTGCTCAGGAGTTACTCCTGGCTCCGTACTCAGAAATTACTCTTGGAGGTGCTCTGGGAGACCCTATGGGATGCCCAGGATTGAACCCGGGTTGGCTGCGTGCAAGGCAAACCTTCCACCCACTGTTCCATCTCTCCAGCCCCTGCCTGCACTTTTGGGTTTTTGTATTGTGGCCTTTTGCTTTTTGTCACCCAGAGGTTGGTGGGACAGGAACTGGACAGAGGTGGTGGGAGTATAAAGGTTGTGCTGCAAGGCTGGGCCTGGAGCCTGGGTGCCTGGATGCCCCTAGACCAGCAGGGTGCAGGAGTGAGCCAGTAGCCTGCAATTTGTTCCTGTGAGGTGCCTCTGTGGGAATCACCCTCAAATCATAGGGGGGCAGGACCAGAGTGGTCAGTCCCCCTGCGCTGATGGGACGTAGCTGGCTCTCCAGCTTTGTGACGACCGCTGGCCTCGAAGCTGCCTGCCCCCCACCCCATTTCCTCATCTGTAGAATGGTAACAATTCTTCCTCTTCCCCCATGCACACCTGGCAGGGACCCTTTGGCCCTTTCCCCTCCACCAGGGATGTGTGTGAGTGAGTGTGTGTGTGTGTGTGTGTGTATGTGAGTGTGTGTGTGTGTAAGAGTGTATTTGTGAGTGTGTGTGTGGCCACTAGTGGGTGGTGGGATGGACTCGGTGTCTCCTTGCCTGGCTTGGCGTGCAAGAGAAAACTTGAACTTTTTGTGCAAAGGGGGGGTCTTCACTTTCAAGAATTGAGAGGGCTAGGGCCTGGGCAATAGGACAGCGGTGAGGGCGCTTGCCTTACATGTGACCGACCTGGGTTCAATCCCTGGTATCCCATAAGGTCCCCAAAGCACCGCCAGGAGTGAGCCCTGCGTGAAAGCCAGGAGTGATCCCTGTGGATCATTGGGTGTACCCCAAAAACCAAAAGGAAGGGGGACTGACTGGAGGTGTGGGTCCAGCAACAAAAAGGGCAGGAATTGAATTTTGAGTTCAGAATTTTAGGATACCCTCCTGAATAAAGGGGGTGGCTGGGCCGTTATGGGCAGGGCTGTATCGAGTGTGGGCGTGGCCGGGGCGAGGCAGAGTGGGCGGGGTCGTCGGCAGTAGGCGTGGTGAGACATGCGGGCAGGGTTTAGCAGCGATAGGCGGAGCGAGGCAGTGTGGGCGGTGTCCTCGTCCTCGCTTGGTGGGTCCGGGCAGATATGGGCGGGGTTTAGCAGATGTGGGCGGGGCCGGTGATGGGCGGGGCAAGGCAGTGTGGGTGGAGTCGTCGCTTGGCGGGGGCGAGGCAGACATGGGCGGGGTTTAGCGGATGTGGGCGGGGCCGGGAAGAGTGGGCGGGACTCTGGCCCAGGCCTAGGCAGGATGGACGACCGCTTGGCAGCAGCTGCCGATTTGTGCCCCGGCCCCGCTTCCGGCGCGGAGGGTGAGTCCACTGGGATGCAGCCGCGCCCTGAGTGCCCCTGCCCGCACCCCGCAGCGTTCCTGAAGGGCCTGAGCGACAAGCAGCGGGAGGAGCACTACTTCTGCCAGGACTTCATCCGGCTGAAGAAGATCCCCACGTGGAAGGAGAGGGCGGCGAAAGGTAGGCGGAGTGCGCGGGGCCTGCTGGGCCCTCACCGTGAGACGCTGCCGCGAGCCGGGGTTGAAGCCCTGGGGGGCGTCGGCCGACAGCAGGCCTGGTCCCCAGGGCTCACGGTTCAGGTCTGTAAAATGGGCATGGGCTCTCCCTCTCACCACAGTGGTGGGGAACCGCGGGGGTGGGGGCTGTCCCCAACAGGGTCCCCACGCCCCGCCCGGCTGTCTGCGAGATGGAAGGGTGGGTGGTGCCCCGGCCCATCAGCACTGGGGGCGTTTGCAGTGACCCCCCTGCTCTGCTCGTCCCAGAAGGGGCCGAGAAGGTGGAGGAGCCCAAGTACAAGAAGGATAAGCAGCTTAACGACAAGATCTCCCTGTTCCGCGGGGACATCACCAAGCTGGAGGTGGACGCCATCGTGAATGCGGGTGAGTCTGGCGTCGATTCGGCCCACTGTCGCCTGGGCTCCGAGCGGACACCTCCTGGCCCCCGCGAACCTCAGGGTGGGCTGATGAGGGCGGCAGCAGCCCCCTGGTGCCTCTCCCAGGGAACCCCACCCTGGCCCGCCCCCACTCTTTTGGGGGGGTGCCTGGGCTCAGCCTCAGAGGCCAGCGCTGGGCGCTGTAAGTGCCCACCCAGCGGTTCCGCTTCTGCTGGACCCTGGCTGGAGACGGAGCCTGGAGCCTGTGCGGGGGCGTTGGGGGCCGTTCCCTGCACCCCACCGGCCCCCGGGTTGGCAGGCGTCCTGTGTTGGCCTGGCAGCTCGTTGGCATGAAGCCGGGGCTTCTTGCTGCTTCTCCCCTCTCATGGGGAGATGCAGACCCCCGCTGTGCCCCCCCCCCAGGGGTGGCTGAGCCTAATCCAGGTGCGCGCATGCGCAGGCCTTGCGGAAGTGGGGGCCGGTGGGGATGCGCAGAGACGGGCAGGAAGTGCCTCCTGCTGGGAGAAAGGCGCAGGGCCCGCAGCCCGTCTCTTTGGGGCTTGGGGTGCCTCCGTCTTGGGCTGTCGAGGTTGGTGATCGCCGCAGTGCCCCGGGCCTGGGCCCATCGGGGCTCCCCTGGGCACTGCTGGCTGAGCCGCTGGGTCCCCCAGGCGCGCCCTCCCTTCCTGCGCGGGTCTCTGTGCCCCCCAAAGACCCTTTAGGGAGAGCAGGACCGTCATTCCCCTGGTGTCCCTGGGTGGCAGGTGGCAGTGAGCTCTGTGGTCCAAGGGGGCGCCCTAGAGCTGATAAGGGAGGGGGCTGTAGCTTTTGCCACGCCACGTGCACCTCAGCCTCGGGTGGGGCTGCCCTGTCTGTCCCCCTCCCCCCATGTCTTGGCGTCTTCCCTGGTTGTGGTAGAGAACTAAGGTGGGGTACGGAGGGGTGCAGCTGTGGAGCGGCGGGCATGAGTCTCTCTTGTCCGTTCTTCTCCCCCTCCCCACTTCTCTCTTCTCTCCCTAACCCTGGCCGCGAGTTTCCCCTCAACCCCGCAGATGGGGTTCAGCTGTGCCCGTCTGCCCGGGACTCCCCTTCTCCTCACACCCGCCCGCATTTCCCTTTCCTCCTCTGCACGTGGGGGTGCTAGAAAACCCACCCGTGGGGGCCGGAGCAGTAGGACGGGGGGAGGGCGTTTGCCTTGCTGGGTCCAGTCCCCCAGCACCGCTGGGTGTAGCCTAAACCCTTCCCCGCCCAAACCCACCTGGGGGCCACTGGGGGCTACTCAGAATGGAGGACTGGTCCCCACTGTCCACCGAGCTGTCCTCGAGAAGCAGCCTTTGGCCACTGCCTGCCTCAGTTTACCCAGCACGACCTGGTATATTCTCCTGGGATCACTTGTTAAAACTGATGCCACATCCTGGCACATTCTCCTGGGGGCTCTTTGTTAAAAAGGAAAGAAACCAGGGGCCAGCCCAGTAGTACAGTGGTGAGGGTGCTGGCCTTGCACGTGGCCAACCCGGTTCATCCCCAGTCCCCCAGCACCCCCGTATGGTCCCCTCTAGAGCCCGGCCAGGAGTGACCCTAAGCATAGCCAGGTGTGGCCCCCAAACAAAAAAAAAAACTGAACAAAACTAAAACAAGAAAAGGCGCCTTGTGCGGGAAGGGTCCCGAACTCGCGCCCCCTCCCAAAGCTCGCAAGCCTTTGCCTTGGGGGTCAGACCTTGGTGGTGGGAGCCGGGGTTTCCCTCCGCGCGGCTCACCCCGCCCCTGGCCGCCAGGGGGCAGCAGAGGTCGCAGGCGGGGTCGCCCCCCCCCCTGCGCCTGCGGGGGAGGGGGTGCAGGGTGGTCTGCGCCGTTCGGTCCCTTTTCGCGCGTGGTCTCAAGCGGGAAGACGCGCCCATTAAATCCTGTTGGACTGGACCACCGTTATTAGCGTGAATAATTGCTTCTCCATGCCCACCGAGCGCCTCCACGGGCGGGGGGGGGGGGCGGGAGTGGGGGGCGCGGTATATCGGGGGCGGGGGTGGTGGTCGTGTGTCTGTCGCTTTCAGTCTCCCAGCCAGGGTGGGTGTTAGGCTGGGCCGGGCTGGAGGTCAGCTGGGGGGGGGCATGGTAGGGCTGGGAGGAGCCTGGCCTGCAGAACCCCCTCCTTCCTCTTTAGAGCCGTGGGGGTCTTTCGGGAAACTCAGAGACAGACCCACAGACCGACATCTGGGGATGTGCAAGAGGGTGAGGCAGAGTAGGGGGCCAGAACTTGGGGTTTCAGGGCAGAGACGCCCCTGGCCACAGGTTCAGTGCTGTCCTCCTCCGCGGCTCTGCCCTGCCCGCTCACTGAGGTTGGCAGCATCCGTGCCCGTCACGCTCCTGCCCACGGGGCACCCTGTGTCCATCTTAATGAAGTGCGGCCTGTGTCCATCTTAATGAAGTGGGGCCGACACGCAGGCTGGAGCCGCCTGGACGCTGCTCTCTGGAGCAGGAGGGGCTGGGGTCAGGCCCCACACCCGGCTGTGCTTGATCTCTTCCCAGGGTTTGGGGGGGTCTCCACCCCGGGCTGATTCGGCTGCTGCATTGCTTGTCTTCTCTGGGCTCCGGCTGGCACGTGACCTTCACGGGGTGACTCTGGGCCTTGCCAGTGTCCAGCCCTGGGCCTTCTGTATCCCTTGTTCCTGCCGGAAATGGCCCTGCCCTGGGCTGCCCCAGGCCTCCGGATGCGATTCCCCTCAGGGCCTCCTGAACTGTGTTTTGTTTTGGGTTTGGGGCCACAGCTGGCTTGCTCTGCCGGTTCTCTTTGTTTTTTTCGTCTTGGTTTGGTTTTTGAGCTACACCCTCGGGTGCCTCCCCCTGGGTCTCTGCTCAGGGATCTCTCCTGGGAGGGCTCAGGGGACCACTTGGGGCGCCAGGGGTGGAACCCAGGTCGGCCGCCTGCAAGGCAAGTGTCCTCCGGGCTGCGGCATCTCTCTGGCCGCTGGGAACTCTGGAGGAACAAGGAGCCGCGGGCATCGGCACTGCACAGGGCCACTGCACAAGTCAGTGGTCAGTGCCAGGGCGGAGGCCAGGAGGCGCCTCAGTTTCCCCTCTGAAAAGTGGGCCCCCCCCAGGATGCCCTCTCCCCAGGGTGTGCAGGTGGCACGTCCCCCTGACTGTTACTCAGCGCCGAGTTACCGAGAGCCTGGCGGTTCAGCTGACTTTGAGGTGACAGTACTGGAGGCCACGAGCATGAGGGGCGCCAGCCGCGGGGTCTCCTTCAAACAGGGCGCGCAGAGGCGCCGCCCCGCCCCTGCGCCCCGCAGGCCCGAGCCTGGCTGTCCCTGTGATTTAGAGACTGCTGTGATGGACTCGTGCAGGGGGCCAAGGGACACACACTGCCTGGTGGGAAGTGATCGGACGCTAAACTGTCGCCGTAAATCGCTTTATCTGTCACTTCCGATTGCAGCGTGTGCGCTGAGGCGTGCTGGGCTGCGCCTTCCCCCTGCAGGCAGGTGGGCAGGACCTGGGACAGGGCGGCGGCATGCTGGGCTCCGACCCGGGGCTTTGGGGAGACCCCTCAGCCCCCACACCGCCCCCCAGGGTGGCCAGGCTCTGTTCTGAGGCTGTGCCTGGCGGTGCTCAGGGACGCCCCGTAGCTCTGTGCTCAGGGTCACTCCGGTGGTGTTGGGGCTCTGTGTGTGCCGGGGCAGGTCCCCCATGCATGGAGCACGTACTGACCCCCTGAGCTGTCCCCCCACTGACTCTGATCCCCCTATTTTGGGGGGTTTATTTTTGGGTCATGCCCAGTACTGCTCGGGGCTTCCTCCTGGCTCTGTGCTCGGGGCTGACTCCCGGCTCTGTGCTCGGGGCTCACTCCGGCCTCTGTGCTCGGGGCTCACTCCTGGCGGTGCTTGGGGGACCCTAAGGGGTAACTGGGATCAGCCCTGGGCTGGCCACGTGCAAAGCCAGCGTCCTACCCACTGTACCGTCACTCTCCCATCCCCATTTCCAAGCGTTCAGACTGAGCCCCCTGCCAGGCTGAGCCAGAATGTAACCCCCGTGTGTTGCTGTGTGTGGATGTGGAAGTCTGTGATGTGTGTTGGGTGTGGCTTGTGTTGTATTTGTTGTACGTGATATATAGTATGTGGTGTTTGTAGTATGTGTGAGGAGTTTGTGTAGCATGTATGTGTGGTAGCTTGCCGGATGACGTATTCGCTATGCCGAACACAGTAACAACAAGTCTCACAATGGAGACGTTACTGGGCCCGTTCGAGCACATCGATGAGCAACGGGAGGACAGTGACAGTGACAGTCTGTGTGGTATAGGTCATGTGTATGTCTCTGTGTGTGTGTCTCTGTGTGGTGTGTCTGGTGTGTGTATCTGTATCTGTGTGTCTCTGTGTGTGAATCCGCCTGCGTGTCTGTATCTCTGTATGTGTCTCTGTGTGTGTCTGTGTGTCTGTGTGTGGTATGTATGGCTGTGCAGCAGAAATACGCGGCAGGCTCTTGTGCACCAGGCGTCCGGCGGGTAGGTCCTGTGCTTCTTAAGACACAGTCTCTCATCCCAAGTGAGGGATGAGTTGTCTGGAGGGACGGGGAAGGGGGGTGGTAGTTGTGCCTGAGGGATGGTACCCCTGCTTGCCCATCCAGAGGGCTGCCTGGAGGAGGCAGCAGTGGTGCTGAGAAATGTCTGGCCAAGTCAGGGGCCTTCCAGCGGGGAGTGAAGGAGGGTGCTGCCAGGGAGGGGTGAGGATGCCAAAATGCAGGCCAGTCTCCAGGGGCTTGGCGCACGCTCCAGGCCTGGGCCACCTTCCCTGCCCCCTGGAGTTTTTCTGTCCGGTCCCTGGTATTGCCAGGGCCACTGAGGCTCAGAGACAGGAAGTCACTTGCCTGCAGCTGCACAGCCCACAGGTGGTGGTTGCTGGGGGCTGTGCGTTCCCCAGAGCCTCCCTTTCCTGGTTGGAGAACGTGGGTCCCTAGGACGTGTCTGCTGTCACGGTCCTCGCTGTAGGGGAGAGGATGGGGGGACCGCAGGCGTCTCTT